CGGCATCTCTTGTTAATGTAAACATTTCAAGTAATCAAAGTTTTCAGAGTTCAAATCATAGTTACAAATGTATGTAATATTTTATATGCGTTATTCTAATCGTAAGAAATATATCCTCAGATGAATTCATTCGGCATCTCTTGTTAATGTAAACATTTTTAAGTGTTTTGAGCGATAAAATCGTCACTATGTATTATATGAGCAAATAAATATATAGTAATATAAATTTTGTCTTTGAAAGTATTTAAAATAATTGTAATTAATCATTGATTAGTTATTGTTATTATTTGTTTTTCTCGAATATTTAATTCTGGTACGAAAAGTACCAGCAATTTGCCTTAAGGCACGATGCCATACACCACTAGTAATTGTCTTAGATGATATTTATTATTATTAGTTTATTTAATAATAAAAACATTTGTTGAGAGTGAGACATAGACAACTATAATGATTTTGAATTAACGCGCCATTTGTAAAAACTATCAAAGCAAAAATGTCTTATCTTTCCAGAAATGTGCTCTATGCCTCAAATGTCAAATAATAATTCAAACCGTTGGACAAATAAATAATAAATAAATAAATTATTATAATAATTTAGTTGTACACGTCGAAAGAGTTTGACGATTAGACCTAATTTAACTATTTAATAATAAAATAATTTTAAAATGTCAGTAAAAACAATTGTGTCCATGAATGAAAATCAGGTAATCAAAACAGAACCACCAGAATATTCAGAAGAATTTGAAGTTGAGGATAAATTAGATATCCTCGACAATGGTATTATTAAATATGAATCATGTTCTAATATTGAAGGTGATGGAATATGTTTAGAAAGATTCATAAAGTCTGAAGTGACCATTGAAAAAGAAGTCAAACAAGAGCTAATCGATTATGACATTTCTAATGGATCATTCCCAAAATTGTTTGGTCTAAAAGAATGTTTAGTTGTGATTGAACGTCTGCCTAACAAAGAAAGTCCTTTCACGTGCAAAATTTGTCACAAGACATGCAAGGGATCAAAAGGTTTGACTAGACATATGACAACAATACATTCTGAAGAACGTTCTGAACTTAAATGCGATATATGCAACAAAATATTTACATATTTAAGTAATTTTAACTCTCACATGTTGATTCACAGTGGAGTACGACCCTATGAATGCACAATATGCAACAAGACATTCACACAATTAAGTAATCTAAAAAGCCATTACCTTATTCACAATAAAGTACGTCCACACAAATGCACAATATGCAACAAGACATTCAAATATTTAAGTAACCTAAAAAAACATTTGCCAGTTCACAGTAGGGAGTCCCATGAATGCACAATATGCAATAAGACTTTTTTACAATTAACTAGTCTGAAAAAACATTTACTAATTCACAGTGGAATGAATCATTGCAATATATGCAATAAAACATTTACATATTTATGTCATTTTAAGTCTCACATGTTAATTCACAGTGGAGTACGACCCTATAAATGTACAATATGCAACAACACATTCACACAACGAAGTAATCTAAAAAGCCATTTGCTTATTCACAATCAAATACGCCCTCACGAATGCACAATATGCAACAAGACATTCACATATCGATCTAACCTGAGAAAACATTTGTCCATTCACAGTAGAGAATCCCGTGAATGCACGATATGCAATAAGACTTTCATTCAATTGAATAGTCTGAAAAAACATTTGCTGATTCACAGCGGTGTGAGCCCCCATCAATGCACGATATGCAACATGACATTCACACAATCAGGTTCTTTGAAAAGTCATATGCTGATTCATTCTGGTGAGCGCCCCCACAAATGCAGCATATGCGGAATGGCTTTTAGACATAGGTGTGTTTTGAAAAGACACTTGCTGGTACACAGTAATAAGTACCCTTATGAATGCGATATATGCAATAAGAAATTTAAGCAATCGCACCATTTGAAGAGGCACAATTGCAAGTGAATAAAATGTAATATATACCGATGTGTTAAAAGTACTTACATGCATCATTTAATTTTTTCATATAAGGTTTGATAAATAAAATAATAAAGAAGTATTCATATCAGATTATTATTTATTATAAATATTAAATATTATGATGTCAAAGACAGTTGTCTTTCAGGTGTTTTAGTGAAGAGAATAGACTTTTTTATATGAGAACAGTAAACAATTATATTACCTACTAATTAAGTGTACTAGAAAATATAAGTTTCTATAAAATTTTCTGTAACCTAACTTTTTGTTCCAACATATTTGGATTTTTGTATATGCTTTCAAAATAGACATATTTAGGTATGATATGGTAAAATTTTAATTTCCTTGTACAAACGGTGCGTCCTGGAGAGCCCCTTGATTTAATGATTGTATAATAAAATGTACGACTCATTGTCACTGCAAGTCTCTATAAAATCTTCTGTATATCAAATTTTTATTCCAACACGTCTCGATTTTTTTATGGTTTAATAGTAGACATATCTAAGTATGACATGTTGAAATTTTAAGATTGTTGTACAAACGGTGCGTCCTGGAGAGCCCTTTGAAAAATTGACTATGTACTAAAATGTATAGCAAGTTCTTATAAAATCTTTCTTTGATAACTTCTTGGACCTGAGCAAGTGTTTCTAAAAACCTCTATAACTCAAAATTTTGTTCCAAAATATTCAAATGTTAGTATATGGTTTCATCATAGTAGACATGTTTAAGTATGATATGTTAAAATTTCAATGTCCTTGTACAAACGGTGCGTCCTGGAGAGCTCCTTGATTTAATGATTCTCTTCTATGATGTAGGACTCATTGTCAGTGCAAGTTTCTATAAAATCTTCTGTAACTCAAATTTTTGTTCCAAGACATCTTGATTTTAGTATATGCTTTCAAAGTAGACATATTTAGGTATGACATGTTGAAATTTAAAGGTGTCATACAAACGGTGCGTCCTGGAGAGCCCCTTTTTTAGTAATTGTGTAATAGAATGTATAGCAAGTTCTTATAAGTCCATTCTTTCATAGCTCTTTGGACCCTGAGCAAGTGTTTATAAAAACCTCTATAGCTCAAATTTTTGTTCCAACACATCTCGATTTTAGTATAGGGTTTTATAGTAGATATATTTAAGTATGATATGTTAAAATTTCAAGGTCGTTGTACAAATGGTTGCGTCCTGGAGAGCCCTTTAAAAAAGTGATTTTGTATAGGGTCCGCCAATTACCTTAATTTTTTTTACAAACTACTGAATATTTTCTAAAATTTCTTTTTCTATTTTGAAAGTACAATCCTTTCAGTTAATAATGAAATTAATTCAGTTAATAATTTAATTCAAAAATGAAGAAAAAAAGCCTCGGCTGACCATTGAAAAAAAAATGAAAATGAAAATGAAAATTGTTAGATGGCATACCCTATACTAGAATGTATGACTATTTGTCGGTGCAAGTTTTGATAAAATCTTCTGTAACTCAAATTTTTGTTCCAAGTCATCTTGATTTTAGAATTAGGTTTCAAAGTATGCGTATCTAAGTATTACATATTGAAATTTCAAAGTCGTTATACAAACGATGCGTCCTGCAGAGCTCATTGATTTAGTGATTCTATAAGAATATATGACTAGGATCGTCGGCGCAAGTTTCTACAAAATCTTTTGTAACTCAAATTTTTGTTCTAACACATCTTTATTTTAGTATATGCTTTCATAGTAGATATATTTAAGTATGATGTGTTAAAATTTCAATGTTCTTGTACAAACGGTGCGTCCTGGAGAGCCCCTTGAAAAAGTGACTATGTACTAGAATGTATGACTCAGTGCAAGTTCTTATAAAATCTTTCTTTCATAACTCCTTGAACCCTGAGCAAGGGTGTAGAAAAACCTCTGTAACTCAAATTTTTGTTCCAACACATCTCGATTTTAGAATAAGATTTTATAGTAGGCATATTTACTTAGGTATGATATGTTAAAATTTCAAGATCATTGTACAAACGGTACGTCCTGGAGAGCTCGTTGATTTAGTGATTGTATACTAGAATGTACGACTCATTGTCAGTGCAAGTTTCTATAAAATCTTTTATAACTCAAATTTTTGTTCTAACACATCTCGATTTTAGTATATGCCTTCAAAGTAGACATATTTAGGTGGGATATATTGAAATTTCAAGGTCGTAAAACAAAAGGTAAAATTTGTTTTGATTTTTTTGCTCCGGATGGAAATAGTGACCTGCATCTTTTCCGCTTGTACGTTCGTGGCGCATCGGCAAAATGCTTGTACCCGGCATATTATGACATATATTTTAACGAAAAAAATCGAGAAGAATGTTCAAATATATAACAATAATATCTGAAAGTTTCGTTTCAATTAAATATTTATTGCCTTCCCTAGAATTTTTTCAAAATAAGTGATTTTTTGACCTTACAAGAATTTCCGCCGTCGTCTTTTGCTTTCAGCTCGGGCAAATTGTATGTATTTCCCAATCAGCTACTTAACAACATTAATAATTTTATTATCTTCGTCATGTCGAGTTTTCAGGGTCGAATTGGTCAACTTTGGTGGTGCTCATCGCCATCGACATCGACATCAGAAGTCGTCGAGTTAATTAGAACGTGACGTCCAGTCGGGCGGCGCGAATTCGGATTATCGACGATAAATTAATTAATTAGACACACAAACACATTTAAATTAATTTACCGGAGGACAAATCATACTTAAATATGTCTACTATGAAACCATATACTAACATTTGAATATTTTGGAACAAAAATTTGAGTTATAGAGGTTTTTATAAACCCTTGCTCAGGGTCCAAAGAGTTATCAGAAAAAAAATTTGAATTATACATTCTAGTACACAATTACTTTTCCAACGAGCTCTCCAGGACGCACCGTTTGTACAAGGACATTGAAATTTTAACACATCATATCTAAATATGCCTACTATGAAATCATATACTAAAATCTGTATATCTTGAAATAAAAATTTGAGTTACAGAAGATTTTGTGGAAACTTACCCTGACAATTTGCCTTGCATTCTAGTACACAATCACTAAACCAAGGAGCTCTGCAGGACGCACCGTTTGTACAACCAACTTAAAATTTCAACATATAATACGTAAATATGTATACTTTGAAACCATATACTAAAATCAAGATGTGTTGGAACAAAAATTTGAGTTAGAGAAGATTTTATTGAAACTTGTACTGACAATAAGTCGAACACTCTAAACACTAAATCAACGAGCTCTCCAGGACGCACCGTTTGTACAAGGGCATTAAAATTTTAACACATTATACTTAAATATGTCTACTATGAAACTATATACTAAAATCAAGATGTGTTGGAACAAAAATTTGAGTTAGAGAAGATTTTATAGAAACTTGCACTGACGATGAGCCAAGCATAGATAAACAAGCATTCTAGTACACAATCGCTAAACCAAAGGGCTCTCCAGGACGCACCTTTCGTGTTTAATTTCAAGTTTAATTTTTAAATTACATAGTGTAGTACACTACCATATCCTGATACCATGGATTATTAATTTATTCCAATTTAACACTAAGATTAACTAATTGTAAGTATTATTTACTCTTTTTATTTTTTATTTTTACTCCAATTCAATAGTTTTTAATTTTTAAATTTTATTTTTAGTTTCCACTGAATAAAGGCTAGGATTATAGTCGAAACGTATGGATGTAAGATAAATTTTGAAATAAACAGTTGACTAATATCATCTAAATATATAAATCATCGGTTAACTAAATCAATTACTCCACGTTTCGAAAAGTTCATTTTATACTATTTCAAATTTTGAATTTGGCGCCATGATATTTTCCTTTCCTAGAAATCTCGAGTCGTCATCTCATTGGTCAACACGAACTTCATAAAGTTCGGCCGCCATTTAAATTAAAACATTTTAACGTCATGTTAAGAAATACTTTTTGTTATTGTTAAATTATTAATAATAAATCTAATCTAGTGTTTGTGTAAAGTAATTTGTGTCGGATTAATGGAGATTGAAGGGATTTGTTGTAAAGGTAAGTGATTATCAAGGTTGTCCTTTTATAATTTGTAATTGTTTGGGGATAGAATTGAGGTTATGGTCACAAGTAATTTTAATTAATTTGAAAATTTGCTTTATTTGACTTAAATACGTACATTGATTTTTATATAAAGATACAAATTGTATACACCTATTCTGGGAATATCATTATACTATCATAATATAATATTGTTTGCATATATATATATATTATATATATATATATATATATATATATATATATATAGTTTCAATTTAATTTGACAGTTGACAAAGGGAAATGGAAAATGTCTAGAAAATTGATAAAAACACTAAATAACATGAACAGCAAGTGCTATAGTTTAAATTGTTAATAAATATATTAATAATAATAGTATATTGATTATGTCGATTCAGTATTATTGACTAATGCAAAATGCCACTTGCACCTAACTTTTTTTTTCAATGACAAATTGTTATACTATTTTTAGTTTTTAACTTCCCGTAGGGTAGTTATAGCAATCGCAAAAATATCGAAAATGAAAATTTTTGCATTTCTCGACGTTCTGAAGGTTTCTGAACATTTTTAAATGGCGTAACTCAGAAACCAAATCGATGTGTGTGTGTGCGGATACAAATTTTTCTGTCGACGATTTCGGGAACACCGATCAATCGATTTGAATAATTCAAAAAACATTCGATTCGTATTGATAAGGAGACGTGCTGACTAGTTTTTGGCAAAGGCAGGTCTAGCCGTTCCGAAGATACGGGGCAAAAAGTGCCGAAAACTGTAACTCAGTTTTTAAGAGAACGGAACGTCCGATTTTAATAATTCAAAAAACATTTCACTTGTATTGACAAGATAAAGAATTGATCAAATTTTTATGAAGGCAGGTCTAGCGGTTTCGGAGATCTAATTGAAAAAGTAAAAAAAAATGCCATTTGGCGGTCAAAAATGTTCATTAGACATATGCACATCAAATTATCAGATATTTTATGGAGATTTTAACAATGAGTATAAATTTTGTTTACATTCCTATGGGTTCCGTATCAATGTTTATCCGTTAGAATGCGACGCGGCGCTTACGCGCTTCGATATTTTGTCTCTATGCAGTTAAAGCAGTACGATTGCTTTGAAAAAAAGTTCAAAATTCTCAAAATATTACAAAATACACTTTCCTTCAAAAAGTCTTTTTTTCAAAAAAAGTAAATTTTTGTCAAAAATGTATAGTTTCTCAAAAATTTAATATTTCGGAGTAATTTTTTTTCAAAAATGTTAATCTTTAAAAAAAAAATAATTGTTGGAACGGGAAGTTCCAGCAATTTGTCTTAAGGCACGATGCCATACACCACTAGTTAGTTTTTAAACATTATTTAGTCTATTATTTACTATGAAGAGTTTCTCAAAATGTACCCTTTGTAGCAGATGAGAGTCTAAAGAAGTTTTACTTCAAAAATTTTTAAATTGTATCTTTTATGGTATGTGGGGTATCGTTTGAAAGGTCTTTTTGAACAGAATCCAAATACTAAGGTTTGTCCCCAAAATATCCAGAAAATAAACCAGATTTAGTGTCGTAGCCTCCTGGACTACGCTATGCAAGCGACAAAATAAAATCGTTATTATATATATATATATATATATATATATATATAATCATATATGTCGATTTTAAGCCGATCAAGGTCTTGTACAATCGAAATTTTGAGAAAGCCGCCGCAAAATATTTGCGTAAATTATAATTAGGCGAGAAACTCGAAATTCTCTTCGAATTTATGAATATGCAATTAAATAATAAAAAAAATTTGGTCATTGGCGAAAAATTTAGACGAACGTTGATAATTACTCAATAATGATAATAAATCGATAGTAGATAAATAACTAGTGATGTATGGCATCGTGCCTTATGGTAAATTGCTGGAACTTTCCGTACCGTAATGAAATATTCGAGGGATTTTAAATGCTTTCAAATATATTATTATGAATTCAGTTATTTTTTTTATTCCTATTTTATAGACGAAATATACAGGCTTTTTACATAAAAGGCAAATAAACAAAACTGCTGAGCTAAGCTGAGTTAGAAAGAACCGGATTTTTATTTTCCCGGACCTTTGTAATTTGCTAATGTTTCTTCTAATTCTTGGATTTTTCTTCTAATTTCAAGGACCTTTGTAATTTCCGGGGTTTTCGGATTCTCGGAATTTGCAAAATTTCGTATTTCTAAAAAAGTTCCGCACTTTTTTAACTCATAGCTTTTTAAAATTTCCAGATTTTATTTTTAATTCCCAGAACTTTCGTTTAATTCTCAGACCATTCTTTTAATTTTCTTATAATTTCCGGATTTTGAAAAATTTAACGTTTTTTTAAAATACCTAGATTTTTGAAATGTTAGACCTTTCTTATTCCCGGACTTTTCTTCTAATTCCTAGACTTTTCTCCTAATTTCTGCATTTTTAATACCTTGATTTTCCAAATTTCCGGAATTTTCAAATTCACGGATTTTTAAAATTTCCAGCCCTTTTTAATTACCGTACCTTTCTTCTATATTTCGGGCTTCGAAAAATTTTACATTTTTAAATTTCCGGACTTTTCTAAATCTAGATTTTTTAAATTCACAGATTTTTTGAATTCCCGTACCTTTCTTCTAATTTCCGGATTTTTTAATACCTCGTCTTCAACTTTCCGGACTTTGAAAAATTTTACATTTTTAAATTTCCGGACTTTTCTAATGCCAAGATTTTTTAAATTCTAGACCTTTCTAATTCCCGGAATTTTCTTCTAATCCAAGGAACTTTCTCCTAATTTCCGGGTTTTTCAAATTCCCGGATTGTAAAAAATTTTCAATTCTAATTTTCGGACCTTTCTTTTATTTCTCGGACTTTTTTTTGATTCGCGGATTTTTAAATTTTCCGGACTCTTTAAGTTATCCGGACTTTGCAAAATTTCACATTTTCACATTTTCGGACTTTTCCAATTTCTAAATTTTTTAATTATCCGCACTTTTGTACTTCTCGGATTTTTCTACTAATTTCCGGATCTTACTTTCATTACTAGGATCTTTCTTCTAATTTCTAAATTTTTTTAATCCGTCGACTTTTTTAATTCCCGAGCTTTTTAAATTTCCAGTCTTTGGAAAATTTCACATTTTCAAATTTTTAGACTTTTCCAATTCCTAGATTTTTTAATTACCCGGACCATTGCAATTCTTTGATCTTATTCTAATGCCAGGAACTTTTTTCTAATATCCGGAAATTTTTTAATCCTTCAACTGCAAATTTCCGGACTTTGAAAAATGTTACTTACTTTTCCTTCCTTACATTTTCAATCTCTAGGATTATATATTCCTAGACCTTCTTCGTTATTCCCGGATCTTTGATTCAAATCGAATACTACGATCTTTCAAAAACACGATATCCATTTTTTGTACTCCTTGCCTTCTTCTTGTATTTCGAAACGGCTGGACCTGCATTTGCCAAAAACTAATCAGCACATCTCCTTATCAATAGGAATCTAATGGTAAATGAATCATTCGATTCGGTGGAGCAGTACTCCTGAAAACGTTGACGAAAAATTATAGCCGCACACATACACCACACATCCATTTTTTCTGGGGTATGCCAAAATGTTCAGAAACCTTCAAAACGTGAAGAAATGTAAATGTAAAAATTTTCAATTTAGATTTTTGGACGATTACAATAACTTGCCCTACGGAAAGTTAATAATATTAACACGCGCTGGAAATTTGATACCATACCGCTTGCTATCAAGCTGGCCTAGATTTTGATCGAATCCGGAACCAGCGAGATTTTAATTTTTTTGTCGTCATATCTTGAATTCTAAGTATGCAACAAACGTTTCTAATTGCATCACCTGCCATCATCATCGCAAAAAAACTTCAATGTTCAGTGACGACATTGCCCGTCTGTTCGTCTGTCTGTTTCTAATTAAATAATTCGCTTGAATTATTTATTATCACAAGTGAATGTCGCCAATGCCACCGAATAAATAAATAAACAATTGTTTAATAATTAACTCGACATTAGAACATAAATCGCACGGATTATTTATTACGTTTGGAATTAAATTGTATGTAACAAAGTGACGTAATTCATTCGATAACTTACAATCCTGTCATGAGGTAAAACATAATAATTTTATATATTTTTCTTGGGAACATATTACTATCTATATTCCCAAAGCGATGTTACTTCTGCTTGATATCAGGCAGTCCGTGGAGGGAATCAAACTGATCGGAAGCCCTTAGCTCTAACCACTAAGTCACGGCGGAGCTCATGTGAGATTTTGCAACTTGTCCTAAAGCACCAGGAAAACATTGACTCCTATTAAGTCTACAAAATCTTGTTTTCCGATTCGGAATTATTAACCAATTAATATTGAATATGCAATTTTATAAATTGCACAAACTGCATTTATTCAGTCGATTAAGTCTCGAATTAAGGAAACATATCCGAATGCAGTTATGTACATTCGATTGCATTCATTCGTGTTGGACGTTTCAATTAATAGAGGCGATAATGCGGGCGCTGGGAAGGACAATCATAAAACATCCGTACGACTTAATTCTCCACCGAATATCTTTCGTCTCCCCCAGCTCTCGTACTATTATGCTCATGGCCAAAGAGGTGCGATATCCTGTCTTCGATAGTAGCAGCCACTAACTACTGTATAGTTTCGATGTATATATATATATATATATCGAATAAATAAATTGTCGATTAGGTAGGCGTGTCGACATCGCCTACGTGACAGGAGACACGTAGGGGGCCCCCGGAGACCTCGACAGAACTTGTTGGAAAAACTGCATTCGTCGGAGTGCTTTACATTGGCTAATTTATATAGGAATTTATATCTACATATAAAATTTTATAGATGCAAGGGTTAAGACTTATTTTTTAATTTTTCGACCAATTTATTTTTAACTTCCCGTAAGGTAAGTTATAGTAATCGCAAAAAACTCTAAAATGAATTTTTTTATATATCTTTACGTTTTAGAGTTT